TTTAATTTTTTTTCCTGCCAGGTCGGGATGATTGACAATTAATCTAACCATGATAACGGCAGGAAACAAGCGGAATACAAATTTATCCTGGGTAGTCGTGCGAGTGAGGGTAGCGACAGCGGTAGGCATTGGATTGTCAGGGGCGGAAAAACTTACCAACGATGGGACACCCTCCAGGCTGATGAAGGAGATAAACCAAAGCGAACCTCTAATCGCTACACAAAATAGCGGTAAAATCCTGTTCTCAATGTCGGGAAGTTGTCCCTTCACCAGGGAGACGGGTTTCCTTCGTCTCGATGTCTTAGTCCCCGGAGTTCCAATTACCGTGCAGTTGTTCTCCGAGCCTTCTGAAGAGGTAGATGACAATTCTGCTTCCAAGTTTCCTCCTCCTAATGTAAAACTTCCTTCCCGATCAAGCCTACGCTGCTTCCCTAGCGTGATTGTTTGGACTCTAGATGAACTTGGTTCTCCACCAAGATGAAGCGTCCGTGCAGCTCCTAGTCTCGGAGGGGTGCCGCCGGCTCCCATCGATGTTGACGTTCTCGACACTTCCGAGGTGGGGACGAGAAGAGACTCACCCGGTCTTGTTGCAGGAGGCTGCTCCATGTATGTTGACAAGGCCGCTCCTATCCCTCGTTGACCTTGTTGGAAGGGAACAAACGCCGATGCCTGAGATAGCCCAGGTTGGATGCCAAAAGAAAAGGCGAGCAGATTCCACGGCATCATCGCAGGCATACTCCATGAAGGTCCTCCCTGGGTATGGTTGCCCGACAACTTGAAGTAACTAGGAATCGCAGACCAGGAGAAAACGCTGCGTTGTCTTGCGTTGAGAAACCCGCTGAAGTGGTTGCTTGAAGACAGGAAGATGGAACTAACGGGGAACCGGTACTAAAGACTGGGCCCCCTGGCCCAAGCCCTCCCGGAAGCCGGATGAAGGAAGCTTGCAGGCCTGAATGCACGACTACGTTCTCTCGCCTATGGATTCCTGATACACTCGACACTTGCGAGGATGAAGGATGAGCTGCAGATGCTTGGACGCTGGGCGTCAACTGCTGGGTTAGCCCCAGGCTCTTGATAATTACGATTAGCTCCCCCTACTTCTGAATCGGCCTGTTGTTGAGAGAGATCCAAAGTCGCCGCGTTGGCTTGCTGCTGACGAGTTCCCCTTCTGCATTTGTCTTCCTGGTGAAAGAAGGCTCTGCACTGCCGGCACCTTGGAGTCTGCGATGAAGCCAGCTTAACCTCCAAAACGTCTCCCTCTGAGGTGTCAATCCATAGTTTATCTTTCATGTCCCCCTTAGCGGCTGGGTCAATGTCAAACTTAATGTTGACTAGCGCCGACCGCATACGGTCCTGCTCAGGAGGATGAGCCCTCAATACTTGTCCTATGGCATGATGAACTTGAGCCTCCAAGTATAGAAACACGTCTAGTGCCACTTGCACAGCGATAACCCAAAAATTATCCTTGTCTTCCACCCGTCTTTGCTGTCTTAGCTGAGCCTTCGTTAGCCAGGGTTTGAAATCGAAGTTGTATGTTATCTATCCCATGGTGAGTTCATCGCTCCCTTTCAACACTAACCATCTTGTGATTTCCAGCGATTTCGCAACGTATGATACAACGTTCGGAGACTCCATCTTTTCTCTCCCTCTTTGGAATGATTCTTGGATGAAGCTCCCTTCAGCAACCTTGTTGTCTTCGTATGCCCTGACAATATCCTCCTTAACATTCCTCGGTAGGAACCTTGCTCCCGCTCGAAAGATGATCGTAACCGTATGCTCTTTCAGCTCTTTCAGCCAGTTAATTTTGACTTGATCCAGGGCAACGTTAACTTTGAATCTGGCTTCTCGCCCTTCTACAGTCATCTCCCCCGGATCAATATCCGAGGGCATGATGCCATCGTAATAGCAGATGCGAATAAGCTCTTTCAAACGATCCGAGTCTTCTGGTTCTTCATCAGGTGCTCTTGGGGGGAAACGTGGTTCCCTTTGCTCTACCTCCATTTCAACCGAGTACAAGAGGGATAGAGAAGGCCCTAATGAGGACGAAGCCTAGAGTAGTGATGGAACCAAAACCTAACTCAAGTTGACAGGCAGATTCTTCAACTATGGAGAACAAATGACAAGACATATTAGGAGAAAACACTAATGGGGGGGACCTCGCGGGTGACCTGGTCGAACAGCCTCCATAGCTACACCATCAGCTATGATCTACTGCAAACAGTAGATGACGGCGCTTCGAAACTACCGCGGCCATATCTCGACGGTATGCCCCGCGGCCAGGCACTCGGCCGTTACCGGTGACGAAAGCGCTTGGTCCGGGTGCTACGTGCGCCGGCGGAAGCGCTCCGGTTCGACCCAAACCACCCCAGAATTCCTTGCCGGAAATAAAATTTGGTCCCGCTGGTCTTATGTTGGGCGGGTGTTTCAGTAAGCTTCGACGCGGTTTTGTTTCGGGGTGCATTGGATTGCTTCGCAATTCGGCGCGCACAGTGTCGCCATTCTGTCGGGGTGCGTCGAAGAGAGAAGAGGTAGGAGGTGAAGGGAAACAGGAGACGACGTGGCGGCTTGTGGGGCGGCAGGCCCGAAGCGGAAGACGTAGAGGGGTAAGACGTAGTATACATACAGGAGACAACGTGGCGTACCGACTTTTGGGAGAGGGAGGAGGAATACGGTAGACGACGTGGCAACTCTCTCTCTCTCTCACGCGCGCGCGCGCGCGTGTGCCCACCTCTCCGTTTCCGCGCTCATGACTCTCTCTCGCTCTCTCTCTCTCTCACACACACACACACGCGCAGATACACTCAAAGCAGTGTTGTGCATGGAGGGAAGGAAAGTTCCGTTCACGCCGGGCGCGTGAAGTGCACCCTCTCTCTCTCTCTCCCCCGCCCACGCTGACAGGCAAACACACATGTGACGACGACGATGGCGACGATCGTGCTGAGGACGGGAACGAAGGAGGTTAGATGAGAACGAGTTAGGAGGAGGGATGAGAACGAGAGACGAGGAGGAGGGAGGAGGATGGGGGAGGAGGAGGGAGGACGGTGACAACGATCAGGAGGACGACGGTGATGGAGGAGGAGGAGGAGGCAAAAGAGGAGGAAAGGGGGGGTAGTGCGGACAGTAGCGTTAGTCAGGGTGGATAGTGAGGAGGACAAGATCAGGGAGGGCAGGAGACATGATCTCGATGGCATGCGAGCGCGAAGCAGATGAAATACCAATCCAAGTTCGAATCCACATGCAAAAAACACCTATTTTCAATTACCTGGGGTCGGTCAGCTCAATGATGATATCTCAAGGCCGATGCCCTTTTTTTCCAAAGAAAAAAAAAGGAGAAAAAAAGAAAAAGAAAAAAGAAAAAAAGAAAAAAAGAAAAAAAGAGAAAAATAAAAAATAAAAAAAGATAAAAAGGAAAAAATAAAAAAGAAATAGCATGACGTGGGCATTTCGACAGCGCGGTATCAGCAGGGTAGGATGGAGCCGTTCTCAGTTCATGCACCCATGGAAAGTGGTTACCAACCCAAGTTCGAATCCACATGCAATCACACCTGATGGACCTTGATGATTGATGAATGCAAGGAAACAATGCCTGGGGTCGGTCAACTCGATGATGATATCTCAAGCCCCTCACCCTTTTTCAAAAAAAAAAAAAAAAAAAAAAAAGAACTACCAGGGCGTCTGGGCGGGGTCGCATCCTTCCATTCCATCTGCCTGGCTTTGAACTCCCGATCTCTGTTTGCCTACAGTAGGTTCACATGTGTATACGGTTTGAACTCCCCGCAGTCACAGGCACGTACTGTGTACTGCCACGCCACGATCGGATTGGAGACAACTTACTCACGTTTTTTTTTTTTTTTTGAGACTTTGTAATTGATTGTGTAATTGATTGCAGTTCGTTGATGAACAGAGTGGTGTGAGAGAATGAGGGCCTGCTGGTGCTACGATTTTCCTAACTTTTTTTTTTTTTTTTTTTTTTTTTTTTGAAGGGCGATGGCCTTGAGGTATTATCATCGCCTAACTTCTTTTTGTCTTCTTCTTTTCAATGGTTTTGGGTTTGCTGCAGTGAATGGCCAAGTAACTTTCGCGAACACCTCCTGGAGATTACTGAGGAGAGTCGCATCCGCTGCCATGTGTTCGTCCGACGCCGCGGGCGTAGCCGCGACGGGTCCACGTGTTTAAAATAAACATAAAACTAAATCTGAGGTAATGCTGTGGGACGAGCGGGAACGGGTAGAGGAGCTGCTGCTGTCACATCCGCGTGAAACTGCTGATGATCGGACTGTCTGCGATTGCGGTGGGGGGTGCTGGATTTACACTGTATTGATGAAGATCGATGTAGCGCCTGAATTTGGACGTGTTTGCGGACTCTAGATCTCGGAATCTGGACGTGTTCGCATCTCTGGCTGCCAGGTGGAGTTGATGAGAGGAGGCCGTTTCGCAGGTTGCGGCAAGAGTACACGTGTCCTCGTCAACGTACGGCGATTCGCGCACTGTGTTCTGGCGGTAGGCGAGGGAGGACACGTGTACTCTCTACCCTAGAATGACACGTCATCACCGAGTGGCAAGAGTCTTTGCACATAGTGGCCGAGTGTTCAATGAGTGTTCAATCACGGGGATGACGGTGAGTGTTCAATCACGGGGATGGCGGCGGTTGAACGGTACTGACGGTATCCAGATTCGGCGATCTGATGAGATTTAGAGCGTCAAACACGTGGCAGAGGGGTGGGGCGGAGGGGGGCNCCCCCGATGGTCCAACCGGAATTCCGGTTGGGCCCAAAAGTGGGTCAATTGTTTGTTTTCTTTTTTTTTTTTTTTTTTTTTTTTTTTTTTTTTTAGGGGGGGGGGGGGGGGGGGTGGCCTCAGGGGGATCTCCCCAAATCCGCAAAGACGGGTTTGGGGGGGGAAAGTTGGTTTGGGGGGGGGGGTGGGGCGGAGGGGGGCGGGGGGGGGGAAGGGGGGGACGCGGTAGGTAGGGGGCGGTAGGGGGCACGACGTAGTTGTAGGCGCGCGCGATGGGTTTGCGTGTTATCTGCTGAGCAAGGCTTGTGTGTGGGGGGGTTGGGAGGGTAGGGTGGTGTGTCTCTCTGGTCTTGCGGTTGTTCCCTCCTCCTTGAGCGCTTTTTTTAGTTGTAAATATCGTCATCATCATGGATTTCCTGAAGCGAGAGCTAGAGCGGAAAAGAAAACTTGCGGAGGCTGATTTTGGAGGCAGCAAGTGCTTACGTGCGGGCGATATAGAGAAGAGAAAGCTGGAGAAGCTTAGACAGGATGAGCAACGCGAGATGGAAGAGAAGGCACTTAGGCAGCGTCTGGCCAAAGAAGAGTCAGAGCTACATGACAAGGCAGCCAGTAAACGACAAGGGGTGTCGGAATCGGGATCGGCGAATGCAAGTTCCAAGCCTGCGAGCGGCGGAGAAGAGGAGGGAGGGGAGGAGTTCGAGAAGCTGGTTCTCTCAACAGAGGAGGTGATCCGACGGCTGAGATTGCTCAAGCAACCGATAACGTTGTTCGGCGAGGATGAAAAGGCGCGCATGCAGAGATTAAGGATGCTGCTGAAGGCGGGCGTGGTAGAGCCACAAGATGAGCTGCTGAAGGGGCAGCAAAACGATTTCTTACGGGATATCGTAGAGTTGAAAAAGGGTGAAAAGCATGGGGTAAGAAAGCACAAGCAGCAGAGAGAAAAGGAGAGAGACAAGGATAAGGGAGGAGGAGGAGGAGGAGGGGGTATGGACGATCAAAGCAGAGGTGGAGGAGGGGGAAAAGGAGGAGGAGGAGGCGGAGGAGGAGGAGAGAAAGGAGATGGGGGAACAGGAGGAGGAGGGGGGGAGGGAGGAGGAGGAGGAGGAGGAGCAGGGGGAGGAGGTGATTGCTCGTTAGGGGATGGAGGCGGGTTTGCGTCATCTGGCGGTGACGGCGCTCCTGATAAGGATAACAAGCGCATGCGCGCCAATTACGACGATTTATGTGACGAAGACAAGATTCTTGTCTTCTTTAAGAGGCTCTTGAATGAATGGGAGCAGGAGTTGGAAGACTGGCTGGAAGCCGACAAGCGGACTGCAAAGGGCAAAGCAGCTATGGCCACTCACAAACAGTGCAAGCGATACCTCAAGCCTTTGTTCAAGATGTGCAGGAAGAAGTCTGTTCCTGATGATATTCGATCCAAGCTCCTGCTGATTATGAAGCACTGTCAAGAGAGGGATTACATGATGGCCTGTGATGTGTATGTCAAATTAGCCATCGGAAATGCGCCATGGCCAATCGGAGTGACTATGGTGGGAATTCACGAGAGGTCGGCGCGGGAGAAGATTTTCACCAACAGTGTTGCGCACGTGATGAACGACGAGACGACAAGAAAGTACTTGCAGTCGGTGAAGAGGTTGATGACGTTTTGTCAGAGAAAGTTCCCATCTGCGCCTTCCAAAAGCGTCGAATTTAATAGTCTAGCAAATGGAAGTGATCTCTATGCTCTGGAGGAGGAGGAGAGGGAGAAAAGCATGAGCAGCGGTGGCGGCGGCGGGGGGAGCAACAGATCACAAGTCGTCGAGGAACGATTACTCATCAGCGATAAACCTGCTAACGCCGGCGACTCGGACAGGGGAAAGAAAACGACGTAATCTGTATCTGAGGGTCTCGTTATCATTCTTGTCAGAAGCATCTGAATCTGGTCATGTCTCTATCATCATTGATCATCATAAGACTGCTACCCATGATGCACGTTGAGAGTCGACCGTCGGAGGTGCTTGATACCCCCTTTTTCGGCCCCCCCCCTGGGGGCGCCTTTGCAGATGGGACCAATCAGCACAGCACCAATCTCTTGTTTGGGAAAGAGGGGAGAGAGAGAAGCGTGACGAAATACAGCAGCAGCAGCAGCAGCAGTAGAGAGCACTAGGTGGAATCAGCAGCGACACAGCCGCCAACGACTTGGACAGAGGCAAGAAAAAATGGTGTGATCTGCATCTGGCCCCGCATTCTGCTAAGAAACATCTGATTTGGGCATTTTTTCAAGAAAACATGAGTATGTACAACAGCCTATTCATGGTTTGCAGTAAAACCCAAGATGCGTACACGGCGTGGCACACGCGCGTACGTCCGCGTGCGCGCACGTGTGCACGCACATGTCGTGCGTCATTTCTCCCTGTATGCATGTGGCTACTCCTCTCTGGCACTTTCTTTCTCTGCCTCTCCATCTCTCCCTACCCCTCTCTCTAGCTCTCTCCCTACCCCTCTCCCTCACTCTCCCTTTCTTCTTTGCTCCCTCTCCTCTCCGTTCTCTCCCTCTCTCCTTCTCCCTCTCCTCTCCGTTCTCTCCCTCTCCTTCTCCCTCTCCCCCTTCCCCTCTCTCCCTCTCTCCATCTCTTTCCATCTTCCCCTCTCTCCATCTCTTTCCATCTTCCCCTCTCTCCCTCTCTCTCCCTCTCTCCCTCTCTCCCTCTCTCCCTCTCTCCCTCTCTCCCTCTCTCTCCCCCTCCCTCTCTCCCTCCCTCGCCGACTTTCTACCTCTGCCCCTCTCCCCCTCTTTCCCCCTCTCCCTCCCTATCACAAGGGGTAGTTGATGAGGAATGCTGGCATTTCCTCAGCATACTGGTTTAACACTCGCACTTGTTTGCGCCCGTTTGCACTCGTTTGCTTACAAGCTGCTTCTCTCTGCCGTCGTACTCGATTCGTATGGGGAGGGTGATTTTCTGAGGAATATGAAGGTAATAGTCGTTGGGTTCCAGCGCGCAAGAATTGTGGTCTCACTCTGTGGGTGCGTGTGGTGGCGCCCGACATCCAGTCCCTTGTCGGATCGCTCCAACTCAGCCCTTGGCGCCATTTTTGACGACGTAGTTAGAAGGGTGGTTAGGCAGGAGAGGGCGTGCGGGGTGATTGTATTTGTCTGTGCGGGAGAGAGATCTTGTGTGCGTGCGGGTGTGCGCGCGCGTGTGTGTATGTGTATGTGTGTGTGTGTGTGTGTGTGTGTGTGTGTGTGTGTGTGTGTGTGTGTGTATACACTAAAAAAAAGCATGACTGTGCCGAACAGACTGTTTCGTCGGACTTCCACCGACTCATCAGGAGGTTGAACCTGGACAGACAGTCTGCCCAGGATGCATTTGACTGATGGTTAAGGACTCACCACATCGCCCAGGGTTAGCGATACCCCTGAGAGAAGTGGT